AGTGGTAGGTGCAGTGCATGCATTTAATCAAGTATATTTTTTATTTTTTTATAAATACATTTTGTTTTTTTTTTTGTCAGATCCAAAAAAGGTGGCGCGTGTCAAGCAACTTTATGAAGATCTAAACCTACCTAGGGTCTACGCCAAATACGAGGAAGAAACATACAACAGCATCAAAGCACGTATTCAACAAACTTCAGATGCGGTACCGAGCGAAATTTTGCTAGAAATGCTTAACACAATTTATCAAATAGAAGTCAAATAAAGAAAAAAAATTCCCGATAAGTGGCATTACTTTTATGTTGTTTAGCATTAGCACAGTAAAATTAGACTTCCTCAAAAAAAAAATAAAAATTAACAGCGATTTTTTGATGCAGTTTTGATGCACGTAGATCATGGATCCACAATCTTGCCCCTAAATTTCATTTGGCAACATTCCGGCATTTTGGACTTTAGTTTTTTTTTGGTTTATTGCGATTAGCAAGCTTATTTTGCATTTTCGTAAAAATGGTTAAAAACAAATTTGTAGAGAAATAATTTTCCACGTTTGTTATAAAGAAGTATGAAAAAAAAACTTTTTTGTTGTAAATAATTAGCAAAACCTGCGAAAGAATTTTACTTTGTCACGATTTTCGCCATTTTTCGACAATTTCTGTTGGAAATGCATAGCATATTGAAATTCCAAACTTGTAGAGAATTTCATGCTTCACAACTTTTATACGTAAAAATTTTTTTTTTTTGTACGACGCGAAGCGACGTAAAATTAATTTCCCTAAAGCGTCAACCAGTACCAGTAGTAGGCGCCCCGCCATTGAAAACAGTGTGGCCTTTTCAAAAATTCAACATGGCGCCCCAAATATGGCGTCTAAACTAACCGTAAATTAGATTTTTCTTTACAACTTTTGTGCCAGTGGAGAACCCAACACTAAAAAAGAAAAAGTAACATCAGGTTATTGTATTTTTAAGGTCTCTGATTACGAACCTAGAGCAATTCATAATGGCGAACCCAATATGGCGGTCAAAAAACTAAATTCGATCCGATTCGCGTGAAAAGTAAAATATGCCTGCCAAATATTTTCAACAGAAAGTTAGTGCGAGCTAACCAGAGTAAATCGTGCTACCCACTCTTTCGTTAAGTTTGGAACTATCTTTTCTTAAGACTGTGGCACCTTCCCACAGTGTAGAGAACTGGTATAATATAGCTGTCGTAGATTATCCGATAGAGTTTGAAGAACCTTTGCGTGTCCGAATTTCAGGTCTCTCCAAGACTGGACCGTATTTAAACTGGTCGCACCACAGCCGGCCCGAAATTTGCCGCAGAGATCCACCGTTTTAAGGTTTAAGAGTATTTCCAGAGATTTGGTGGATGTAGCGGGTAGTGCTCCCGCGGCGAGATGGAAAGCCGTCCTCTGTACCCGTTCCACCTTGGCTCTGGGCAACGTCTTATTTAGCGGAGGCCAGCATATAGTGACCTCGTGAAAAAGGATGGCTCTTACCGCCGCTGTTTACTTACATGTGTAGTACATACGTGTGTATGAGGTTGTATGACCCATTTTTCGTCTATAGCTGTCTTACAGGCATGCAGGGTGGTATTGACCTTCCTGGAGCGCCCTCCGATATTTCGCTCCCAGTCAAGTTTCTTTTCAAAGGAATTTGACTTCGGTTTAGAGAGTAAGTTCTACCGCGTTTAAAATGGGAAATTTGTATTGAGGAATTTTACACATCCTCGTTAAAAGTACTATTACGGTCATGGCAGGATTACGGTAAGTCCACACTGCCCTGGGGAAGTGGGTCTGGTCACATATTCTGTGATGGAGGCGTTCCTCAGCTCTGATAGAATAGTTATTTTTTCGAGAAGTGTAAACCGCAAAACATTATTATTATATATTCTTAAGATAAAAGAGGATCCATTAAACCAGTAGTATCGAATTATTAAACAATAGATCGAACTTAAAATCGTGCAATTTCGTATCTCAAGGGAAAAGCTAACGTTTTCGTAAGCTTTTTATATGGGTCAGATCTCGGTTTGAGCGTCAATGCATAAACACAATTCTAAACAATATAGATATATGAGGCACTCTTCGTCAAATGAAGCCCCGCGGTTAAAGTTTTGAAAATTCGGTAAAAATATTTATTTTTAAATGATGAGTAGCGTTTCTGAAACCCAATAAGGCGGACATAGTTTTGAAATATTATTGGATTCACTTCAAATATTGTAACACCCAGAGCTTCTTGCGAGTCACTGATAACGAATTTGATTTGATCATACATTTTAAATTTAAAAATGGCGGATCTAATATTGCGAATTCAATAAGTTTTTAAACATTTTTCCGTCATCTTGGATCCACCATTTTGAATTTAAAGAATTTATGGCCAGGTTCATAATCAGCGACTCCAAAAACTTCCAAATACAAGTTTCGAGCGAATTCAATAAATTTTTAAAAACTTTTCCCCCATATTGGATTTCAAAAACTTAAAAGTAAACTTTTTTACCGAACTTTCAAAAATATAACCGATTTTTATGACCGGAACCAATTTTGGAGACAGGGAGTTGATGAAGAATGCATCATGGGGGTATTTTCTCCATTTTTATTTTATTTTATTTTTATTTTTCAAAGTTAAAATCGAAAACTAATTAACTTTTTCACATAAATTTTATTATAGACATAGGCAAACTTTGAGAAAATTTTAAAATATCTAAATTAATTGCTTAATTCGCTAATTCAATATGTATGCCTGGAGCACTGGGAATTTTAAATATTTATTCATATGTTAAAGCGAAATGCTTATCAAATAAGCAAAAGTCAGAAATACATATTTTATTTTTATCTGAGTCAGAAATTGAAGTTTCTACAACGTTCCATGAGGCAGTATACATATAAGCTGGACGTGAACCAGACTAACCTCTTAAATATTTGCTCCCTTGAAACAGTTGTATAAATTTGTATTAATAACAGGCATACAAGTGTAAACAAACTGAATTTATTTTGCACAAATTTTTTTATTGCATATCTTATGTTTCGAAAATAACCGAAATATGTCAAAACAACGGTCATTGATATTTACTTAATTAAATTTACAGTAATCTTCATAAAACAATTAATATTAAATGCGAGACGAATGCACTTACCGTACCGAGTAGGTATGCATTTTGGGAGTATAATAGAAAGGAAAAAATATTAGTAACTTTTGGAATTGAGAAGCCCCGAAATACGCGAAAGATAGATGCCAAACCATCTCCAAAAAATATGAAGCAACTACACGGAAAAGTCCCGAAAAGATATTGAAAAGTCTGAATAAAACCCAAAAGGTTATAGAAATTCCCAAATAACAAACTCCGAAGGATTCCAAAAAGTCGTTAAAAATTTTAACAGTTTTATAAAGTTTCGAAAAATCTTCAAAAAAAAAAAGACTCCAAAAAAATCCTGAACGGTATCAAAAAATCCCGAAAAAATTCCATAATTTCCCGAAGCCTAATCCAGTCTAAAAATAAAAAGCAAAGATAACCGTATGGGTTGATTGGTTATTTCGTTGGTGACAAGTGACGAGTGTGACAACTCCAATTAACTCCAATATGTGTCATTTTAAAACCAACACGCAATTGAATAGAAGCAATAAAATAGAAGTTTTGCATTGTTACTACTCAGATCGTCCAATCTCCTGTGACAACAGCATTTAACTAAATAACTGTTTGGCACCTACACTTTAACTACATAAGTATTTGGCCGAGCTTTCCCTACAATTTGTAGCGTTTATCTTCTTTTTACATATATGAAGAGATCCACAGTTTTAACCGCCTCCGAATGCCGAATGATTTCTGTTCGAGAGAAATTGGAGATTTGCCATTGGCTGCCGCTAAGAAAAAACTTTTTTTTATTTTTTTAGATGCTGCTCGAACCAGGAGGGATCGAACATACATATGTACATATTTATGCCTTACAGAGTGACAGTACGCACCTGTAACCACCCGGCTGAAGTGGCCTTTAGTTGATATCCTTGATATAGCTCGGAGGTAACAGAACCGTGCCGTGTCACCCAGATCGTTGCAAGAATATCCCTACTAGCTCAAGCTGTAACATACTCTGTAAATGATTCTATAAGACTATAGGTGATACTTACAGAGTTAAATGTCCTTACCGCCGCCTACTCTGGCTAGCTGAGAAAATATCAAAGTTTGTCCGGTTTTTTTAGCGGCTTAAACTAGTTTACCTCTACCTTTTGATAGAAAAGACGTCAGCCCTAAAAAACAACTGGCCCAATCTGGTAGTCTATGCTAAATTAGAGATGATTCGAAGCGTTTGGTAAACCCTGTATCTTCCCATTCTTTCATTTATGGTAGCATTATGTCGAAATTTTTAACGAAGACAAGCGTAAGACAGAAGGGGGGAGATTTTTCGTGAATACAAGGAAAAGTCCAGCATACTTACGTTTCTTTAATTGGGAGCAAAGGTTTCACACAACGATTAAGAAGGAGGGTTGGAGCAAGGCAATGAAATTTAGCTGTAGATCTCTAACGAGATGGTAACGAGAGTGGGTGCCAGAGTATACTGCTGGGGACTTAATGTCAGGTGGGCAGTAAGGTTACCTGTCCAGTTCAGCATATTTCGCTAGAAGGATGGCAGCAGAGCTAGCCTATACAGAAACGACAATCAATGTATTATTTCATCCAAAAACGTCCTTTGCAGCCGGGAAGCCAATACAAGGCTCTCGAAGAGACAAAAGACATGCATATACACTTGTACAACGAAATTGAGGATAGTATGATTAGGCAGTTGAGGGCTAGATGGAATGAGTTAACCATCTGCATATTGTTACAGCTTTACAGACGGGATTGCAGAGTTGTTACCGGATAGCTTACGATGTATATCCTGGTGGCTGCTCATGTATAAACGTGGATAGTTGCAGGAAGTGTTGCCAGCGGTACCAGGGAAACCATAGAGCATCTCCTAAGCCGGGGTCCCACACTGTCAAAAAGACGAATAAAATTCTTGGGGGCTTATTAATTTGATAAGTTAGAAGGCATTTCAAAAATAGTGCTGAAATTACTAGTGAAACGCCATAATCTAACTCCAACCAGTAACGCTAAGGACCTTCCAGTCAAGATTAACCTTACCTAACCTTTGTCGATACGTACGTTCTTTCCGCATAAGACAGATGACATTCAAGGCTTCCGTTGGACATGGCCTGATCGCCCCAATAATAGTATTTCAGGCTGACTTTCGCACTCAGCCTAACATTGTATGTTTGGAACTAGTTCGCGTGCACACCATTCCACCGAAACAGCGTGCCGTATGGAATTCATGGGCAAGCACAGAACACCACATCTAGATCTCTGGAACTCGATGTTTTGTGCACATTTCCCTGTTTATTTTCTGTGAATAAGAGTAGTTCAGTAGTAGTATAATGACCGCAAAAAGCAAATTCAAAGGCCACAGTACACCGCCTGGAAAAATGTAGATCTGAAAGATTGTCAAAACCGGATCAGAAACCGTATCTCTAGAACTTGACTTTGGCGGCCGCCTGAAGGCCTTTTTAGTAATAGCGATTTTGTAAAAGCAAGGGCGAGAGCGTAAGGATTTTTAAAAGTAAACAGAATTAGCTCTGAAGTTATCTACGAGGCCATCCTATCACGGGTAAAATATTGCAAAAAAAATAATATAGACTTGCTTTGGTAGCAATTGCCGGTTTAGCGCCGGGGATGCCTCTTAATTACGCTTATCGATAGCTACGCTTGAGCGGGTTTTTTAATCTTAACGCTGCAATAAGTTTACTTTGGTGCACTTTAGATGTGCTGTGTACATGTAATTAGTTTGTACCCACCATGCAAAACATGAGAAATAGATAACAGTCGTCAATGGCAACAAATTGGCGGCTCACCGATTTATTGCCGTAGTGAAAATCGGCAACATCATTTCTTTCATGTTTTAGAACGACTGGTAATAAGAAATCGATAAGATGGCGATATTACCGGCAGTAAATGTATTTCCGAGGGCGACACGTTTTCTTATTTCCTGCAAACAAAATTGTTTGGTGGGTAATAAAAAAAAATACTTTCTTATTCATTATTTTTTACTTAAATTGCTTTCGTGAAATTGACTGTAAGTCTTTTCCCTCGGATCTGTACTCAGAAAAGGTGGCATGATACAATGCCTTGTGAATCGATGTTGTCAAAAGATAATCGCATTCTCGCATCGTTCTTAAGCAGGGATCACACGATTGGTAAATTTGCACATTTGGCAGCCACAGAGTGGTGTTGTCTAGAAAATTTTGCCGAGAATGGGTTCAGCTCAATAACAAATTTTTAAATAACACCTTTCTGTAACTGTGGAAATCATCAAATGTACAATCGCACAGTGCTTTCCTTTCATATGAAACGTGGGCAAAAATAGAATTATGGACGGATTTAAATGAAAATTCGCTTCTTAGCAAAGTTAAGGACGCTAAATTCAAAAATGCAATTTATTTTTGGATAACTTTCACTGTAAATGCAGCTTGAAGTTGAAAATGTGGGTTCTTGTGGCATTTACATAGGTATGCAAATATAGTTCGTTCTATTTTCAAAACTGAGGTGTCAAATGACAGGGATTGGTCTGTAGATGTGCAATGAAGTTTTATTTTTTGAAACGGGTTACCACCTGTTAAAAATTTTATTAATGTTATTTAATAATTTATTTAACGTAAGATGGGTATCAATTGAAATGGTTTTGAAAATTCGTTACTTTTAAACGACACGTAAAAGGGTTGTCACATGTTTAAAAAATCAAATTCAGTTTAACTAAAGGAATAAGGTAACTGAAGTATGTATATAAATATGGGTATGACGCAAAAGAAAAAATTGGACATATTAAGCAAGAAATAAGTGAAGAGTACAAGCATTCCTGAGTTAATTTAAGAGACCAGAATTTTAAAACGAAGAACAAATGACTGATCAACACTAATAACGATGTCATAAACCTTTGGTTTGACACAATTATTATTTTAGTTTAACTAAATTCGACTTTACAAACAGGTGGAAACCCTCTTCGTTATATATGCAAGCTAAAACCGTCTTAAACCTATTTCGTTTGACTCCCGTATGGTGATATATATTTATTTATATAACCTAATTCCTTTAATTCTAATGTAATTTGATTTTTTAACAGGTGGCATCCCTCAACATGTAGTTGGGAAATAAACCCTTTTCATATACATTTCCATTGATACCCATCTCTTAATAATTCATTTAACTTATTAAAAAATTTGAATTAAATTTTTTAACAGGTGAGAGCTCTTTAAAAAAAATTAACCTCTATTGTCTACAGGTCAAACTATTTAATCTGACACTTCATTTTTAAAAATAGAACGAATCGTGCAGATCTGATGACACTGACAAAAAAATTAAAAATGATTTTATGCCTTAGCAAAAAACGCATTACTTCAAAAAGTGTAAAAAATTAGCAGGTTTTTATTTATTTTTTCGAAACCCAAAAACCCGTACTATTTAATAAAATAATAAAAAGAAACTGGTTTATCTAGAATACCGCAGGGATACTCTGTGTTTAATTTTACTCCAAAATTTTTAATCCTGTAGCTCTCTACTATCTATTTGGAAATACAAAACGTCAAACCAACATTTTATTTCAGAAAATGTTTCTGACATTTGTTTCCGTATAGAGCTTACGCATGGCTATGCTGTTATTAATATTCTTACATAAAATTTGTCGAGTTTAGTGGGTTCCTGGCGGCATATAAAATATTTCATACAGAAATTTTCGTTAAATTCTTTTTAGTGGGTAAATTATCTTTAACAAAAAATACCAAACACGTTCACATTGCAGGCAGCGAATTTTTCGATCTTTGCCCACTTAGGTGGCACCGTGCATCGTTTGATCCCCGTGCATCGTTTGATCCCTGCTTTAGATTTATTTTGACCACGCTAACAGAGTTGGTTAAGGAAACCGACTATTGTCTTACAAACCACACTCCACAATGGCAAAATAAGTTCAGTACCTATCAACGGATACGAAAAGAATGGAACGTGGACCAATGCAGGAAAAGCGGGACACAAGATGGGCGATAGCGCTTGCTCGGAGTTCCTACCCTACCAGTAACTAGTTTAAATATCGATGTTCAACCAGTTTCTTACCCCCTACAGCTAGTTGAAGATCTGACTTTCTTCCTTGAAACGAACTGTGGAATTTAACATGGCGATGTCCTAGGTATCAGCCAATTATCCGACTCTGCATATGATTTCAACTACTTTAAAATGCATTTTTCTTAGAGCACTTTAAAGTCAGTCGTTTTATTACGCTTTCGTTGTGCACTTCACAGATGCTTTTTCATAATTAAGAAAAACTGAAATTAAAAATTTTAAATTAATTATTCCGCCTAATGAGATTTGAACATGAACATTCTTGGCCGCGACCAATTGTAGCAAACATCTTTTCACGCTGACCACAAGTAGTGTTGCGGGGAACACCTTTCCGCAAAAATACTGTGGCCAGCGTAGCTGTCGTTGGACTTGCGAGGGCTATATTTTGACGAAAAAATTTCATCGACGTCGACAAACATAATAATTATTATTATTTTTTAAATTTGAGCCAATAAATTAACAAGTTGTAATCGGCGCGATGGGCAAAGAGAGCTTTTATTCTGCACTCGCCTATAAAAATGTATAGAAATCTTAAAAGAGCTTTTCCCGCGTGCATGTTGGTGCCCATCACCAATTTACATATGTACATATCGAACCCTAAATTGAAAAAAAAGTAAACGAATTTTTTTTTCATAATTTTTGTCGTGATGCAGGTATGATAGAAAATTAAATTTGCAAAAAAAAAATCGTTTCGTTTTTTTTTGGCGGTTATGGCTCAATATGAATGTATGTATATGTCATGTATTTAATGTCGCCGGCCGTGAAGCAAAAGTGGTGAAAATTCCAATTTCATCCGTCGACTATAAACAACACAAATTGTTTGCTATAAAAATGCTATAAAAATGAGCTACACCATTACTTATTTTAAAAGCGACCGCCAAAATTTACTGCACCGTTCAATGTTTATTACGTTTCTTCTCAAAGCTAGTTCATAACTGTAGATTCATGTTATTTAAAAACGTGATTGACTGAACTGAAGCGAACTTTCAAAAGGGTGATTTTTTCAAAAACTTTGTTTTATCACTT